TGCTGTTAGATTATTTGAGACCAGATGGGGTTGGGGGAAAATGCTCCTGTGTTTCAAGTTGGAGCAACGAGGTCGATGGTGATGTCATTCACTGTGCTGAGGATGCTTGAGAGGGAGGACATGCAGAGATGTAGACATCAAGAACTAAGGAAGAATGGTCCATACCACGTGGATAGGGTAAAGTTATATTGATAAGTATTCCTCTACACCAAGACTAGTTCTTCGCTCTTCAATATCTTTTTCTGTAAATGTTATTATCCAGGAAGGCCTACTCACTGTAGACACCAGATGCCCTTGATTGGCAAAGACATGATAATTCTCTTGGATCCAGAAACCATACTCTTATTTTTCTCCAAGGGAACATAAATATGACTTTTGAAAAGCCTTCAGTGGTGATAGAAAAATGGGGTAGACTCGTGTGTGCCTCGAGCAGCATCAATCAAACGTGCAGCCAAGTTTTGATTACAAGATTTTTCTTTCTGGCAGGGCTGTAGGGAGGAGAAAAGGCACAGCTGGGTTTTCAACTGTAGGTGGGTACCACAGGCTCTGGAAATTGGAAAAAGGCACCTTTCAGCTTGGAAATTGTGGTGATTTGTCTGGAGAAGTTAGAAAGACAATAAATATAAGCCTTAGCCTAATCCAAGCTCCTCATGATGCCATTTACAAAGTAAGGAATTAGAGAGCAAGATGACTGGGCTAACAAACCTTGCCAAAGAGTTGGATGCTCAGCAGAGACCAGAAGGGATGGCTTCAGGCTTGTTAGTTGCATGATCTTATTCTCTTTATCTTGTATTTATGGCTTACTTTTACTAGTATAGAAAGGAGGAGAAATTGTAGGAGTTTGGCAACCTCATTGCATATAAAAATTGTGGGCAAATTTAAAAATGTGTATAGTCCAGACTCAGAGATCTAGTTCTATGATAGAGTAATAGCTTAACATACAGAAGGCTCTGGGTTTGATCACAAACACCACAGGGGAAAAAAGGGATGGAATCAAAGAGGGAAAGGAGGGAGAGAAGGAAGTTGCAGTCTTAGGCCAATTCTGAAATTTTGTTCAGTATTCTTGATAATCTAGGTTTTCAAAATACCCCTTCCTTGATTCTGGTAAGATTACAAATTTCACCAAAAATTCATTTGACTAATGGCTGGGGTATTAAATTGCTTCAGACTCTCCTCTGGCTGTAGCTGGTGAATTTCTTACTATATGACATTGAGGAAGTCACCTAGTTGGTCATTAGTATTAGTTTCCTGTAAAAGGCAACGCTTCTAACTTCCCATGCCCCACTGAGATGAAGAAAATACAGAGTGGATAGATTTGAGTGAAATGTGTTATGCAAAAGGTAGCAGAATGAGCTTTCAAAGAAGTCTTGTACTCTGGCTTGGGAAGGTTCCATCTGTATGGATTGGTTCAAGTGCCTACTGCCTTCATTCCTTAAAATGTGAATCCCTTCACACCATGACTGCAAAGGGTCTCTTAGCTCCTGACTTATACATGGTATCTGAAGGAAGTGGGCCATTAGGAGTAAAGGCATTTTTTTTTTCACAAATAATCCAATAAGAGTGAGAGCTCAGTCTGTAACAGAAAGCAATCAGGAGACAAGCAGAGACAGCTGTCACAAGTGAGAGATCAAGATTGTGCCACCAATCTTGTGAGTTGAGCTAACAGTCCTGTAGACTGAGCTGCTTAAACAACTAACTGGCATTTGTTACTCATAGTTCTCTGTGAGAGTATGGGTCCATCTCTTCTCTAAGAACATTCTTCTTTGTTTGTGAATGTTCTTTTTGCCATGTCCTCATAGGGAAGAGTGTAGACAAGACAGGCAAGGTTTTATGCACCTTCATCTCCGGGCTCTATTGCCATCATGAGGGTGCCATCTTACCTTCCCTCCTAATGCAATCATGTTGAGGAGTGTGGTTTTGCCACAAACTGGGGAGTTGGAGAGAGACAATTATTTTGTCTATAATAGTAACTAAATAAAGTAGAGTAGGTGGAATATTTTAGGCTTCAGTATCCCTCAGATAGGCCTTAGAAAGAAACCAAATTTCTTAGAACTAGAAATAACCTAAGGCATTCCAATTTTATGATATAATCGTGGTGTCTTTGGAATGTAACGAAATGGCCAGAAAGGCCCCATGGCACACAAGCTTCATACTATGACTCTGAAGATGAGGGCCATCAACTGTGAATCCAGAGGTAAGCAAGGTCATCAGATTGATGTACCTACCCCACAATACTTGGCCATGAGAAATGGGTTGGATGTGTTCGAAGCAGTCTGGGGGTGTGACCTAAACATTGTCATCTGATGTAGAGGTAGAGGAGCTGAAAAACAAGCAAACCAAAACCCAGGAGATGGACATTGTAATGGTTAACTGCGCTCTACTTTGCTGGATGAAGAAACACATAGACATTAATGAGGCACAGCTTTGCCTACATCTGCCAGTATGTACAGAGAAGCTTAACTGAGGAAAAAGACTGAGAAAAAGACACTCCCTGAATATGAATGGCACCATCCCAGGAGATGGAGGCTGGTATTGAATAAAAAGAGAAAAAGGAGAAAGCTAACTGAACACCAGCATTCCCCTTTCTTTGCTTCTTAATTTTTGGCAAAGTGTGCAAATAGCCTCCTGTTGCCACTGACAATGCTGGTCACATGTCTTTGCCTTCCCTGCCCTGATAGACTGGTTTTCTCTCAACTGCCAGTCAAACTCTTCCTCCTCTTTTGACATTGTTTTTTTGCCAGGTGCTTGGTCAGAAAAGGAACTAATACAGCCATGTAAATCCAGCTGCTTTCCAAAGGAAATGAAAGCATGGCAAAGGAGGATCCATGAACCTGGGAGAAGGGTAGGAACTCTTACAAAAGGACCCCAGTTGTCTAGGAAATGGGAATGCTATCTGCCTTCCCTCACAATGCCCAGTTCAGGACCCTCAATCTCACCTAGGTTGCTTCTCTTGCTACCGTACATCAATGTCCCTCTCTATGTTGCTGCTGGCTTGCCACACAGGTCCTGTCACATTGTGTGGGTACAATCCCAAACACCCAACCTCCTCCTTCCCAATCCAATTCATTCTGTCTACACTCACCTCTGAGGTTATTAAACTGGCAAGGAAATGCATGAACTCTACATTCTTGACTCATTCCTCACTCTGGGCAAGGAAAGGGAAGACTGTTTCCATGGTTGAACTATTTCAACCAACTCAGAGAAAAATACCACATGAAGTAAAAATATTATCACCCTGGCCAAGCACAAGTTTTCCTTTGTAACCTCACTGACATACAAGGATTGATCCTACACCCTTGCTTCCTTCCTGGGGTCAGTGGCATTGCTGTTGCTCTACCTTTGAGGAATGCCGGTTCACCAGAGACATAGGAAGGGTCTCAACTATGAAAGGTGGGACAAAGCAGGGATTCCCCTGCACGATTCAAACTCGACAGGGCAAAGGAAAAGTTAAAAGAAACTGAATTTAATAGGGGTATAAATAAGAGCCTCATTACAGTAAAATGAGGCAAACCCTTTACTAGAAAACAGTTTTGGAAGCCATCTTTAAGTATCATCTTTGTGGGGAAGAATCTGCATACTAAATAATACATAGCATGCGCTTTCATTTGCATAGATTTCCACAACTAACATATTCTAGTAAGATCTATGTGCTGCACGCCACCTTCTAAGGAGATATTATTAAAATATGTTATTCAATGTAAGGTCTTGGGAAGGGAGCTTAGCACCACAGTGAAGGCACTGTCCAGCTGTTAGTTAAAAGCATATATGGAATGGTGTATGTACCTTAATGTTAAAATGAGAACATGACACTAGAAAATGTCATTTCAGTGTTCACAGCATGAAGCACAAGCCTGTAATCCCAGGTAGCTGGGAAGTGTTGGTAAGAGGACCCAGGATTTCAGTGTCACCCATATGCTCAGAGGCCAGCTTGGATGACATGAGATCCAGTGTCATGTCACACACACACACACACACACACACACACACACACACACTTAATATCTCACACACACCCAAAAGAAAGAAAGCAGAAACCAATTTAAAGCTACCATCTAAGTGGTGGAGAGAGCCAGTGACCAAAAGATTATTTATATTTTGAATTAGAAGCTTATCTGTAACCACGAGTTTTGTGAATCAGAAGTGGATATGTTAAAACAGCCAAACTGGAAAGCACCTTCAGATTTCAGTGAGTCAGAGGGGAGTGGAATGGAATTTGCAGTAACAAGAACCCTGTGTTTTTGACTTCTGTCCATCTGAAGCAGCCTCTGGTCAGGGGCCATGTCTGGCCTGAGGTGGAGGGGCAGTTCTTCCAGGACACTTTTGAGTCATGCCTGCTCAAGGATCTGGTAAAAGGTATGAGCCTATTCTAAGGAAAAATGACCATGTAAACAAACAAAGCAGAGGTAGTGAGCTCATTGAAGAGATGGTCCTTTGAAGGTCAGGCAAGCCTCTCTTTCAGAACAATACAACCCTGAACTCTTTCTCCTCGTAGAAGCAATGAGTGTTAACAATTTTAGCAAATATATCACCACAGAACATGTGGTCTTCAAGTTATATCTGATTCATCAACTAAGTGTGTGACAACTCTGTGGTACGCTGAAGTTTATGACATCTTCCAGTGTACATAGATGTGAAACTTTGCCCATAAACAGCCTAGTTGCTGTGCTATTTGTCAGCTCTCTTGGGAGTAGCAAGTCAAATATACAAGTCCTCCTACCACTGCTAATCTATAAACACCAGTAGTTCCAACTTCGAACCAATTGCCCTGCTCTTTTAATTTCATTTATGTGTGTGTGTGTGTGTGGGGGGGGGAGTCAAAGAACAACTTTGAATGTCAGTTCTCTCCTTCCAGCATATAGTTTCCAGTGATTCAACTAGGACATCAGGATTGGAACCTTCACCCACAGAACCATGTCGCTGACTCGCTTTGCTAATTTTTTGTCACACATTTCTGAGGATCCAGTCTTTTCTTATGGGCTGTTTGTTTCATGTCTCATCAGCAAATTCCTGAAAATACAATGCCTGGATGATGGAACCTGGGAGCAAGGGAGCTGCGTCCCAGTGGTCTGTGAGCCTCCTCCTCCGGTCTTTGAAGGCATGTATGAATGTACTGATGGCTTCAAGCTGAACAGCCAGTGCGTACTCAACTGTAACCAGGAAAAGGAAAGGGTAAGGCAGACTCTGTGAACTTCATTCGCATGAGACTGTGGACTAATTAACCTGCATGACCATGGCCATGACAAGACTGCTCAGAAGAAATGATCTGAAGAAGCTAGCAGGCAGGTCAGAACAAGGCCAGGCTCTAATGAGGGGCAATAATATTATTCCATAGAGAGTTCCCAATAGTGTTGTTAATGCTTTCGACTGTTCCCTTTCAACTTCAAAGTTTCCATTGAGAAAAGGAGAAGAAGCCAATGCAGAGGGCAACCAGGTTCATTTAAAACTATCCTAGGATTCTGATTTGGCAATGCAATCAACTCTCCAGCTTCTACTGACCTCACTTGGGCAGGAATGCAGGAATGGTGGATTTTTTTCCTTTTATGTTTTGTTTGTTTGTTTGTTTGTTTCGGTAGAACAAGGTCCCCAACAAAAACATGGATTGTTGAGCAAAGCACATTAAAGTGCTGTTTGACTATTACCCTCTCTAGGATGCTGGCATAGGTCTGACCTGAAAACCACAGTCTTATCATGATTGTATGACTAAACTCAGTTTTATTTTTTTTAGACACTTTTCAAGTACTACACACACATACGTGAGACAGGAAGTCAAGTAGACTTTGGAGGCAAAGATCAATGGCCTTCACTGTTCTTTTGGCATGTTTTTAACTTAATGTCCAGTACTTCAAATTACACAGAGCAGAACAGATGTGAAAAGAATGGGTCACAAACTGAGATCCAAATTCATTAGGCATGCTTGTGTTAACCGGCTAGTTAAGATAGGATGGAGTTCACCAGACAGAGGCAGAGTTATTGACAGTTCTGTATTTCCTCTCTTGCATCTTATGTGTTTTAAGTTTCTCTGTGTTCCATCTAGGTAGAGTATACTTTGATTGTTTTGGTCAGTGGGGTGGGGCAGGGTGAGTCAAGAGTTACACCAGGCAGCAGGCATGTGGAGAAGGAAAATAGACTTCAAACAGGATTAAAAGCAGCAATAATATGTGTATTTCAGTAGAGCAAAAACAGACCTTTAGGAAAATTTATTAATTACTTTCACTATGCAAAACCCACCATGAAAATAATTCAACATTTGCCACAAGCAACGTTTGTGTGATCATATGGAAGAATCAGGGCAAAACAACACCATCTGGGGAAATTTTCTTAAAATAGCATAGAATACACAGCTCTGGTCAGTAGTTTATCATATCCTAATAGCTGAAGAAAAAGATACTGGTGGTAAGTTTCATGAGTGGAAAAATTGTTTCTGAGTCCTTCACTTAGAAGCAGCAAGAAGTTGTCTTGGGTTTCTTCTTCCTTCCTTCCTTCTTCCTTCCTTCCTTCCTTCCTTCCTTCCTTCCTTCCTTCCTTCCTTCCTTCCTTCCTTCCTTCCTTCCTTCCTTCCTTCCTTTTCTTCTTTCTCTTCTGCTTATTGTTCTAATTATCATTTAGTCCAAGTTCCAGAAGTTAAAGGACATTGTCATTTAATCAGACCACTTTCCCCTCCTTAAAATGAAATTGACAAAATAACAATAGTGGTGTTCTTTATCTTTGGTACTATAGGTTCCGATCCTCTGCACTGAAGACGGGCTGTGGACCCAGGAGTTCAAGCTGTGTGAAAACCTGCAAGGGGAATGCCCACCACCCACGTTAGAGCTGAACTCTGTGGAGTACAAGTGTGAACAGGGATATGGGATTGGTAAGAATGGGAATCTGCTTGTGTCAGCCACTTTGCTTTTGGACCAAGAGTGCATCCATCTGTGGCTGGATGTGTAGCTCTGGAAGGAAAGATAGAATGAGCCACTGTACCCATGTGATGCTGGGCTCCTGTATCACCTCTATTGTTAAGGAAAGGATTATTTGAGATGGAACTCACTCCTGTTGTTCTTCTGTCCTGTTATTCTCTACAGAGGACTGGGTTCCAGAGCCTGGGGGCAAGTGCTTATTCAAGTAATTGCAGTTAAAGTTGTTTGTGACCACAGATGACTTAGAATAAGGTTGACTCAACTTTACCCAAACTGGCCCTACAAATCGTAGAAAAGAGTTGCAATTTGTGGGAAGCCTTATGAGATTGCATCTAAATTCTGAATTACACAGGCCTGAAAATTTCTTAAGGGAGTCCAACCTGTGCAGTGTAAATGTGCACAATATAAATTAATGGGAAACCTCTGTCATTTTTTAATTGATTCTCCTCTGTGTTCCAAGCATTTGTGCTATGATGTCTTTTGATCGGGCTGGGATTATGAGTGAGCTCAGATGTCTCCTCAGTGGAGTTTCATGATTCTCACCCTCAAATTTTCTGATTTCTACCTAAAATATTATACATATATTGGCTCCTAAAAATGATGTAACTGAAAAATATTATTTACCTAAAGACATGAACAATATGAATGAAAAGAAAGTTAGAGAGATTATATAATTTATAGATGAGGAACCAGAGAACCCCAAGAATGAATTTTATTTGAATAGGCTTTGAGAAGGCACTTGGATCTCTTATGTAAACGAACAGAACAAGAATTTGCTTTGAGAGACCAAAATCTCTGCTTCTGGTTTTGGCTCTTTCCTCCTTTACTCAAATAGGTTTCTTGGTTGTTCGTGTCATGATCTTCAGTGTGCCAACTGAGAGGATAGGAGGGGCCCGGAGGAAACGTAGTAATCTCTTCACCACCAACACCAGCACATCCCTCACCTGCCCCAGCTAGTTAAGCTACAAGGTTACAGGTGCAGTAAATACAAGTTATTGGGTGGGAGAGCAAAATAATATTAGAAATGTTTAAAAGGCATCAGAGTTTGACTGGCTGAAACTGTGATTTGGGGATGTGGGAGTCTGCTAAACCAGGAATTGATCTCTTAATTGTTGAATGCCTCAGTGGTATATTGATTCCTAAGGAGAGGCTATGCTGGGCCAGGAAGAGGAAGTGACACATGGGAAAGGCAAAGAGTTAACTTGCCACGGTGGCTCTTGAGCACCTCATATGACAGTGTCCTCACAGATACAGAGGAGGCGATGTCAGCCCTGTCTGTAACTACTGTAATGTTATGTCTATAGTGTAGAAAGGAAGCTCTGAAAAAGACTGTGGCAAATTCACATCTCTGCTATAAATTTCCACTCGTTTAGGTGCAGTGTGTTCCCCATCATGTGTAACCCCCCCTAGTGACCCTGTCATACTACCAGAGAATGTGACTACTGACGCTTTGGAGCACTGGATGGAACCTATCAGAGTCCAGGTAAGGAAAGGGTCAGTTTTGTGTGTTGTGGTTATAAGGCTGCTGACCAATACTCAACTGGCAGGACATTACGTGAAAGAATTTGGAGGCTCCCCAAATATCCTGGTATCAAATATACATGTGGGTGATTCCCATGATCAATGACAAACTATCAAGACAAAGAAGAAGAAAAGTGACTTGGGGCGGGGTAGACCATTTAAAGGAAAAGAAAGAAGGCCCAAAGGCATGAACAACAGAGGAGAAAATGAATAATGGAAACGTTACAGGAAATATTAGGATAAACTGAGGAAATGTGTAAAGATAAAAGGAGGAAAGAGAAAGGCTAGATTAGAAAAGGTTCAAAAAAACTGCACACTGAGAGAAGATGGGAGGCAGACAGGGTAAGAAAAGAATTCACTCTCCCGAGTTTCATTCTCTTTCTAAACCCTGAAATCCTATCCCAGGTCCTCTGCTCTTTACACTTAATCAGCAAAATCTATTATGTCTCTGGCCTCCTCTCTAGCTCTCCCTTGACATCACTGCCTTCCAGAAGGCTCAATGGACTCTCTTTCTATTCTTGCACGCATCTCAGTCTCCATGTGAGGCAAATTGTCCTCCCTATCTCTTCTCAGAGCCTCTTCCAAACAATTTTTCATCCCTAGAATCTACAATACTTGAGACTAAAGCCAACAGAATAAAACATTCAACACCCTCAAAGCCACTTTCCTTTGAGCCTTAAGTTGCACACTGCTCCTGGTCGTGGACCACTCTAGCTCCCAGGACATAGACGCCCCAGATAACACCCCCATTAGAATGCTAGACCATTTTCACATCCATCATCTGATTCTTCTAAAACCTGTGTACTCGGATCTATCTCCTCTTTCCTCCAAGGCTCTATCTCTCACATGCTTTTCTTAGATCGTGAAGTTTTCAGTTGTGGCCTCCTCTTACCTATTTGGACACAACGACCTACATCTCAGGACCTTTGCCCTTGTGGCTCTTTCTGCACACAATGTTTCCCCAGACATGTGCATCGTGTGTGCCTCTACTTCTTTCAAAGTTTGACTCAATTGTTATAAAGCCATCTTTGGCTCTTCTGGCTAAAATTCTAGCTTAGTTTTCTGGTACGTTTCTTGATTTTATTTTCTTTTTCTCCTTGGAACTTACTAGCAGATATTATGTATTTTACTTGCTTATTTCAATGACTAGAATAAAATGAGGGATAATATCTCTTTTGTCCATTGTTATATACTTAGATTACAAGAGTTGTGCCTAGGAAATGCTAAGTGTTCAATAGCTATTTGTGAGATGAATTAAAAAGAAAAAAAGAAAAATCAAGAGCTAAATGGAGAATATTTTGTTGTGAGTTGTGGCTTCTTAGAATGAGGTGGATGAGATATGGCTGCTTTATTAGACAGTTCAATTATATCCTTGCAAGCCTCTTTCTATAAATTCACAAAAACATGGACTCTGGATCTATACGTTTTGTTTATAAATCATTCTTTACTTTCTTCTTTACCTCACTGGCTTGAGCCCTGATATGATATTTCCTGTTAATGACTGGATTGCTATTTGGGTCTGATTTTATTTTGATGTGCTATGTACTGATTTGAAGTTCAGAAACATTGCATAATGCAATTAGTAAATCTGTGGTTTTGGACATAAGTTGTCCAGATGTTTTATACTGAGGCATCAGGGAAGCACTACTTGTAAGCATAGATGCGAGCTGTGTAAGAGTGCCCACAGGTCCCAGAAGAGATCAGGGGACCCCCTGGAACTAGACTCACATATGCGAGCTGTCTGATGTGAGTGCTGGGAACTGAATTCTGGTCCTCTGTAAGAGCAGAACACATTTTTTTTAACTGCTGAGCTATCCATTCAGCCCTGAAAAAAAATTGTTTTTCTTATAAAGCTGAACCTACATACCTGAATTCTGCTAGTCATCAGCTGTATAGTATCAGACAATCTGTTCACTGTTCTTTCTCTCTATTCCTTCTTGTAAATGAAGAATATTTCTTTCTATGGATTATCTCAGAATCATAGGAGAACCCTACAGCTAGAATGAAAATTGATTGACTCCTAAGAATCTTTCTCAATCAGTTGTCAAGTAAGGAAGCTTACCTTCCTTGAGCCCATCTCTTATCATCTGTAGTGACACTTCCCTGCTTTTTATGATTAGGGAATATGTCTCCAGTCATAGTGTTCTGGAGCACAGTTGCAGTTAGAGGAACTCTTGCAATGTATGGCATATTGGTATGGAAAACGAAATAAAATAAATTAGCGTCTTCTGATAATCTAAGGGGAAAACAGAGATAATGTGAAAGGTGTATAAGACTAATTGATTTTTACCTTATAAGAACAATTTATTCTTAAAAAACATAATGGTCCTCCCCAATCAGTGGACTTGGAAAGGGACAGGGAGGAGATGAGGGAGGGAGGGAAGGATTGGGAGGGAATGAGGGAGCGGGATACAGCTGGGATACAGAGTTAATAAAATGTAACTAATAATAAAAAAGAAACAAAATTATACAGCAGTCAGAATTTCACAAGTTAAAAGCATAATTAACAATAGTTTATGTGTTTCTGAATTACAAATCAGGTTCCTTTACACCAAAATAAAATCAAACCAAATAACAATCCAATGGTTAACAGTAAGTACCACAGTGGAGCAAAGCAAGGTGTTAGAGAGGTTCTTTACTGATTGTCGGTTCTTCCATTAATGCTATATCAGGGAGCATGGCTTACAAAGCATTCAAGGGTGCATTTAGGAAATTCGAACGGTATTGTAAAAGATAAATAAGAAAAGCTCGATGGGCCTTATGAGAATGATGAAATGATCAGTGTATTATTCCTGGAGTCATCCATGATAAGACTACATTCCAGCCACTGACAGGTTCATGGATTCTGTCATTTCATGGCACTTGGAGGTTCGTGAGGGGTGTCATCTCTAACCTTGTCTTCATAAATAAGAAGAAATACTTCAAAGACCTAAGCAATTCTGTTAAGTAAAACCCGTATTTTGAGTAAAACCTTGTAACCCAAATTCACTATCTCGGAGGTTTTTCTGTATTGTACCCAGTCTTCAGCTTGGGTGTTCTTTCAAATCACTTGGGCAGTATATACATTATAGATAGTGTATCCTCCTAAAGGCTGTGATGCCTCAGAATGCATAAGAATATTTATTACATACATCCCAGAAATTCCACTGAGCACCTCAAGTGTAATAAGTCATTACCCTTACAAATAAGATAATCACAGCATAATTTCTTAAAGTTCTAAGAACACCTACTTTGAGTAGAGTTCATTTGTTTAGCAAATAATTGTTGCCTCTTTCATGGAACTCACTGCTGTCTATCATATTTCAAATCATTTTGCATCCAACAAGACTACAAAGAAAATAATTAAATTATATGCTTTTCAATTCTGCTTCAAATGACTTCATTCTTTTTAACAAGAGTGATAGCTCATTTTAAAAAACACTTGGTCTCCAAATGTCCATACATGATTAAGATTTTATATCATTACACATGTGTAATTATATATGTAAAGATATATAGACACACATACATATATATGTGATTTGAATCTCATCACTAATGAATAAGATCAGAAAGATTTTACTATTTATATTTTACATATACATTGCTAGGTAATCTCTTCAAAATTTCATAGTTGTGAAGCAGTGGAGAAAGTATTTAAGCAATGTTCTTGAATCCAAATTGTATGACAGTCTCTGTTTTATCACACCCATAGCAATCTTTTTTCCTTCTATCTGTCTGTTTGGAATAGTTTTACTGTCAAACAGAAAATAGGTCATTCTTTTCAATCACAAAACCCACCCATCATACATTTCCTTCCCTTATCATGACATCTAAAGAAAAACCATTTAAAGAGAGATATTTCCCTATAACATTACTTTTCTTTTTTTATGACAGACTTTGCTGTTTTGTTTTGCTTTTAGAGAACAGTGAAATATGGTTTTAGCTGTCTGTAGTTTATTTTTCCTTCTCTAGAGGGCCTATTGGTTTTTATTCTTGCAAATAATACCTGAATTTTAGAGTATTATTCATTTTATTAAAAGAATGATATCTTACGACCTACAATGTCTGGGGGTTTGATGACAAATACCTCCAAGGAACAACTGGCATCCAAACAGAAAGTAAGGTAGTAGATCTCAGAGTCTCTGTGTGCTCCCCTTCAAAGGAAGGAAATACTATTTATCTTGGAGTGTTCTTATGAAGTTGAGGAAAAACACACATGAAACACACAACATAGTAGATATCCTGGTAGATATTTCTTAAGTTTAAATGCTATTTGAACTTATTTAGTATAAATTTTACTCCTTCAAAATATCCTCCATCTCTGTAAAAACCGTAGCACCTAGTTCTATGGGACAAATACACACACACACACACACACACACACACACACACACACACACACACTGGCATTTTAGTTTTACAAGAACATGTTTTTTTGTGGGAGGCAGCAAGCCAGAGTCTGAAATTCCAAGATGGACCTTTGAGATGGTAGCCAGGCAGTGGGATCTGACAGAACAGGCAGGGTGCTTTGTGCTGAGTCAGTGCTAATACTGTAGTTCATGCCTAACACCCAGAAATGGCCTTCTGCCTGCTGTTTCCTGAAATCTGATTTCACTTCGCAATAGACCAAGGTCTCCAAGCTACTTGAGAGTATGGGACGAACTAATGCAGACAAAGAATACTTTGCTATTTTCAAGTCTTTCTGTTTTCTTCTCTTGATTTTTTTTCTTTTCCTTTGTCATGCTAATCCCAACTTCACATTGAGCACAGGGGGTTCTCAGAGTAGATAGACACCTCACTCTTCATCCAAGTGTCATTTTTTTTCTATGATTGTGGAGTGAACACGGTGGCTGTAGAAAAGCAAAGTGATAACTTCCAACAGCGCAAGGGCATCTATCATAGCCTCTCACTCCCGCATTATTTTGTCTCATAAATCCCTACTTCAGAGACCAAAGAAAATTTCCCCTTCTATTTTTAAAGTATGTGTTAATCAGGTACAAGTTAGTGAGACTTCCCCAAAACTACATTGGATACTTTTGGAAACACTTTAAGACTCCCTGAAATCCCTGTCAGCCTCCCAGCTCTTCAATAACCTCATGACATCAGACCCTGTCATTTTCATTTTGGTTTGCTTTCCAAACCAAAATTAATTAATTTGGTTTCCCAAACTAATCCTGAAAGGACTAGTAGTTTTCTTTTTTCTTTTTAATAAACAAAATAGTTTAAAGCAAAAGAGAAACAGGGTGGGGTGAGGATGGGGGCAGATGTTTTACTGTGCAGAAACTGTGACTTCTCAGCGTATAGTCATACCCTCCTTTCTTGGTATCACTGTTCCTCCATACCTAGCCTAACCCAGATGGACAGTCAATTCTGTTATTCTCATTCCTTTTCCTATAACGGAGTATATGCAAAATCCTTCCATATATGCAAATGCATGAATTTGACATTACTCGCTGATTTTTAAATGTTAATTCAGTTTTTAAAGTAGTTCAGACTGGCATGCCTCTTTAATCTGTGTAAGTTGCTAAAAGTGAGTAATATGTCTGTTGTACCCATGTTAGATACTAAATCCTTGAGAAAATATGGTCTGGTGTTCCTGTCCTATTTTTTATATTGACTTTCAAATAAGTGACACTTTATAAGCGCTGGCCAACTGCTAAGTGCAATACTACCTTGCTCCCCTACCCCCCCCCCCCCGTTCTTTTGCATCTTCTGGCCTGTGAAAGTCATCTGTCCCATAATCACAGGCCTTATCTGTAAAAATAAACATTGATAAAAAGACAGTTGCAAATGCTTTTCAAAACCATGCATATTGGAGCTTCAAAAAGGAAGTGAATCACTGTGACTAGATTGTTTTTTGATGGTACAATGATGTGTCACTGAGACGATGTGCAGAACAATGCTATGCTTTATTGCTTTATTCGGGGTCATGTACATATGTAGCAATGAGAAAATTGTCACAAACCTGGGTGGTGGCAGAATCTGTAGCCTGATATAATTAGCAGTCCATTTTGCCAATTAACTTCCTGAATTAAAAACAACAACAACAACAAAAACAAACTGGGCAATTTTCTGTTATAGCCTAAGGCTGGCAAAGTGTTGGTCTTTTCATGTTCAAGAAGAAATCACTAAGCAATAGCATTCATACAGCTTTATGATCATTGGAAGATTCCTTAATGATCCCACCCAAATATCCCTGTCTGCTTCCCTTTTGTTTTCTCATTTTTTTTGTTCTTTTTCCTTTTTGTTTTTTTTTTTTTATTATTTCATTGGATTTCAAATGTCCCAACACTGAGAAAAACTGCCAGCTATTTGTTTTTTTAATGTAAAACGTAGACTTTTTTTTTTTTTTTTCTTTTGGAAAGCTTGAATCTACTCCTTGGTGCACCATTGTTCACTATCGGCTCATCTGAGAAGCTGATAGCATAGGCTGTTAATAGCATAAGAGTTGAGAGTAAGACTTGTAGTGCATGTTAGTGAATAGAAATAGTAGGAAATTCAGAATAGGTGTTGCCAATAGAGAGAAAGAAAGGATAGTTATGTTGGAGGGATCTATATTGATTTGTGCCCTGGAAACAACATAATTTTAAAAGACCTAGTGAAGCAGAAAAAATTTCTCTATTATTCTGCATAGATTAACCATATGAATAATATATAATATGTAATATAATATGAAATATATAATATGTAATATGTAATATATAATATATAAATTTATAATGCACATTTGAAATTTGCCTAAAGTATTCCAGAAAGTAAGAAAATCAAATTCGTGTCTTCCAGGAGCGATTACTTACCTGTTTGACTCACTGTTTTCTTCCTGATTCACTTCCTTCTTGCCTCTCCAGCATGCATGATTTTGAAAAACTTTGCAATTGTGTTGTTATCAATGACCAGTAATTCTATTCGTATAAGATAAGCTTATCTTTATAGATAAGGGTTGTGTTTGTAGGATGGGTGACATTCCCAGGCCAGAAGAGGTAGAAAAATGAGAACCCAGTATTACATTTAGCAGTTGGTCAGTGTTTAGGAGGTGAAAAGGACGGGAAGAACAGCCCGTTTTTTGTTTTTTGTTTTTTTTTTTCAAGGATTTGGCATCTAGGATGGGTACAGCAGATGTACTATCCATTTAGCAACTTACACAGAGATTAAAGGGGTATGCCAGTCTGAACTATTCTGAAAACTGAATTAACATTTAAAAATCAGTGAGTTTTGTCAATCTCACTATTACAAATTTGTCTTACATTTGCATATATGAAAGGATTTTAAATATACTTAGTTATAGCAAAAGGAATGAGAATAGCAGACTTGACTATCGGTGTAGGTTAGGTTAAATAATTTAAAGGTGCACCCAAGCAATGGAATACTATGCATTCAACATCCTAGAAACTATACAAAAAGTGCAGTTAAGACTGTTTGCCAAACAATACTAATTACAATTAAAATACAAATTAAAAGGGTTATAGCAGTCAATAAACAGTTTGAGAAAATAACACACCACATGAATGTACATGTACATGTTCAGGGTATATCTGAAGAAAAAAAAAGCTAGAAATAGGAAGGAAGAAGTCAGTCAAGGGGACAGAAGGAGAGGTAGACACCTGGAGGCTAACACAAACTTTGATATGCTGACAGCTGCCACAGGTATATGTAAATAGAGACCCATATGTCCTCCTTTTTCAGGGGAAAGAGAAATGACTCCTTTTGGCAGATGGGAATTCATTTCACAAATTTCTGAGGAATCCTGCTTTATCTAACCTCCAAAAGCCCTTCTATAGTCCAGCTTAAGCTATTTCTGGGCATATGTTCTGCCTGAGACCTAACATTCCAGGCTTTTGTTGGCAATAAGCTATGACTCATCTCTTCTGTCACTGCTTCACAGCTGGGAGTGGGGAGTGACATCATGGTGGTCCAGGAAGTCTGGGAATGGGAGAGGAGTCAGGCAATGACAGGACACTTGTGGAAAGTTCCTCAAAAGCATTTGCTATGCTCACCCAACCTGAAGAGACAAGAATCATCCACATTGGCTGAACTGATTAACACGAGGGACTATTTTCCATCAGCTTTCAGAAGTCCGGGGCTTGCTGGTTTTGCAGGACCACCTGGGCCCTAGCTAGGCAAACAGATTTGGGCACAGTTTGCAGGGTCACAGTTGAATCCTGGATGGTGTCTGTCAGATGAGTACATCTGCTGGAGAGATACAGACTAGAGACGGTATTAGCATGATCACTGTCTGTAATCTTTGCTGAAATCCACATTGTAGGAAAGTAGTAACAAGTGTCTGCAAACAGTTGGAGTAGACTCATGTCTTTGAGCTGCAACAAAATGAAGCCCGAGACATTACCAATATAACAGGCATAAACATTCATTTGTAATGGGACAGAAATTTCTTGGCAGGAAAGAGAACAACAGGGAAGAAGATCTTCAGGGCCCAAAAGATGGTTTTGGGTAAAAGCAAGCACACTCTTCCCTCTCTCCATAGGACTAGGCAGATATGGATTAGACAGAGATGTTTCTAGTACAATGAGAAGCACATTTAAATCTATATTTAGAAAACCACTGAAGGAAATTTACAGTTTTGTGCCTGTAACAATAATAATAGCCATTGCTTTGCCAAAGCTAGATTAATAACTCCCCGGAACTCCATTTATCAATGTTAAACCTTGAATTTTTGAAGTCTTGACATCATATGTATCATCTGTAAGGCTCATTTTTCACGTACTTTAAATCACTCCCTCAGACCTTCACAACGTGCATTTACACACCTTAAATCATTTTTCTTAGCCTTTAGCAAGATCCACACAACTTTAAACTATTTCTCTTTCATTTAGAAACATCTAATAATTTACCATGAAGTATAGGTGGTCGATTATTGAGAGCGGTCATTGACAAGCAAGTTCTTTTAAAAGGGGCAATAGTATAAAAAGCAAGTTTTCAGTCAGTAAGAGTAGTATGATAGCTTGAGCTTGTTGTCATTGAACCTAGTGTGCAAGTTCGTCTTTTCCAGCAGGTGGCCTACCAAATCTGGAAAAATGGTGAGGCCTGCTTGTACATTTGCTGTCTCAACAGCAGACATGCCAGGAAGGTAAACCTGTCTGTGAGTTTACCCATCTCAGCAGGAGACCTAGTAGCTCTAGGGAAAGCAAGGTCTGAGTTTTACTTTTAAAACCAATTCAGGATGACAGGTAATTGTGTCTCAGCCTCAGAGCCTGAGACTCTTAGGCTCAGAGTTGAACCTAAAAGACTCAACTCAGGTAATTGAAACATTTTCTTTTTTCAAGTTTCTAAATTAGTATAATCAGCAAGCAATGTGTTCATCCTTTGCACCCAGAGTTACTATGAAGCCAGACTATTTGGAAAGCAAAAGCAGACTCTGTAGCTTTCACAGAAATCCGAAAAGACTAAATCTGAGTAGGAAGTTTAAAACCAAGTGGCCGCTGTATCAATTAAAACAGAGACATACCTGCTACCTGGACAGCCAGCCTGGAATCCTCCATGGTGATCTCAAAGGCCTCCTTGGGGGCAGAGGCTGTCTTCAATTGCCGCACAGGATAGCGGGACCCATAAGATTGGCAAGATGTTTCTGTGGAGGAGAAACTCGAGGAACTGGCCTACTTCGGCGAGGCAGTCAGGAGTCAATCTAACAGAGTTCACAGTTTGGGCAAGATCCTGGTTATACCCCTGGTGATAGGCCTGGCATGGGGCAATTCTTTGCTGGGTGGTCAGTGCTATGACACTCAGAGTACTAAGAAAATTGTGGTACCCTAGGGAAGGAAGAAGATAAAAGTGGCACAAAGTTCCTCCTGTGAGGGCTTTGGCCTTCCTACTACCCAGCAGGGTTAGTGGCAGGCCCTTTCCACGCACACAGCAAAAGCACTGGGGTTGGATGGTGGAACAAGAATGGGAGTAACCGTACCCCCCACAGACCTAATGTCTCTGTCCCCTTTATTTCTTTTTCAGAGCATTGTGTGTACCGGCAGGCGTCAGTGGCACCCAGATCCCTCCCTGATCCACTGCATCCAGTCATGTGAGGTATGTGGGCTTGACCTCCCCATGTGGAGAGCTTTGAGTCACCCGGGTCCCTCCAACCCAAGACCCCGTTTCTCCTGATCCCTTTTTTCTTCTTTTGGTTTCTTGCATGTCGTTGCCTCCCAATCTCAAACTTACGTTCTGAACTCCGTTTTATTTTCTGAACTCCGTTTTATTTTAGTAAAGTCTTCAGTCGCTTAAAAGGCAAGCCAGAATTATTTAGGGCTTTGGGATTCTGTAACTATGCCTTGGTTGAAATTAGTTAAATAAGGATTTTACGAGAGACAATTTTGTTCAGCCAGCAAAGTGCCTAAAGCTGACTTTGGTGTGTGTGTGTTTGTATGTGCGTGTGCATGTGTGTGGCCATACTTATATAGTCAGGGCATTACAGTGCAGCCACTGTTGTGCAGACTAGACCTCGTGCTAATCTTTCTGCCTCAGCCCTCTGAGTGCCAGGGTTATAGGTATGGAGGAGCCAAATTCGAGATTCATATGTAAAACGTCATACGTACACACACTCCAAATTTAAAAGAAATGCAAACATTCTCTTTGCAAAGATTTATTTATTTTTTTTCACAAAAGAAGACTGTATGGAAGTTGTGGCCATGGTTAGCTGGACTTGTATAACAGGTATAATCTCAGAACAGACGTTACTCCTATTGTCACACCGCTCATGTCTTCCTGTGGTCATTTGTTCCTCCTTTGCATCGGCTGAGAGGCCATACAGGTATCTATGCAAATGTCTATGTAGACGAATATCCCACTATTGAGTGCTCTGACCTAAATCTTTTCTATGTAAAGAGCAAATCCTGCCTTCCTTCCTCCACGGTGGATTTCTTTGTCAGCGAGTCATTTCTGGTGCAGTGACTTCTTTGACCTTACACAGAAGAGTCTAGAATGAATCGGAGCATTGCCTAGAGAAAATGATACTGAGAAGGAGGGTACACACATAGCCTATTATGTAAGCACTCCAATCCTAGGAACAGCTAGTGGCAAACACAAACATTCTAGTCAGGTACTGCCCTGTCCAGTATAGCTCTAGGAAAGGTCCTGGATGACATGGAGAAAGAGTGAAGAAAAGACAGGCAGGCAGATAAACAGACAGACAGATACACAGACAGACACATGGATGCACAAAAAAATCAGGATCATGTGGGCTAGGAACTCTGTTGGGGGAAATGTAACACCCTGAGAAGCTCAGTGTTTTTCATATAGAGTTCAACAGAGGTGGGATTATTGCAACTGAACAAGGAAGCTGAGTTTATGATAGGTGGCTGTATCAAGGGAACAGGTTTAGCTAACCTCAGTAGGAGTAGTCTCCGTAGGGGAGCAGTCTGCAGGCCATAGACATCATACTTGGTCCTCCCTGGAAGGTTTTGCCACCCCACTGAGTGGCCATTCCCACGTAAACGGCACACATAAGCTCAGGACTTCACTCACTCAGGGCTTTCTCCACTACCCATCAGTCACTGCAGATTTATTCACCCAAACCTCCCCTTGGAAGTAAAAAAGCCACTTTGCAGCACTGCCCAGATATTTTTGGCTCCTTGGAGGGTGTTAAAGAGAGTGCCTTTAACTGCCATTGATTTCCAACAATCCCTTCAAACACACCCAACCTGCATGCAGGCATGCATGTCAGTCCTCTGTTCTGTATCTCAGAGTCTCTTGATCTAGTTCTGGGAAACCGGGATCCACATGAGACCAGAGAGAGGGAAAGGGTGGGGTTTAAGAGAAAAGAGAAAACTTGATGGGGGAAAGATACCCATAAAACAGCATTCTGAGTATACACGAGGGCTAATGCTAGCGTGGAGTGTGCTGTGTTATGGTGCAGGGCCAACAGAACAGCTCATCTTCTGCCATCATTAGAAAAACAGATGGTGGCGGGGTGGGGTGGGGTGGGGAAACAAGGGGAGGCAGTGAATCATCCACTGGGCAGGGGGTGATGGGGAGAGAGGAGGCCAGGGAAAGAGGGAGATAAACAGACAGAGGACTTAGGGAATCTGGACAGAGATCAAACAGATCCTGAGAGTTCCCTTCTGTTGTTTCTATGCATCATCACAAGTAGGAGGGTGGATGTCAGGGCTTGGGGCTGGCTTCAGTGCTTTCCAGAAGGTTGCAATACAGAGCTTTCCATGCTTATCCTTTCCCCTGACCTGTACCTCAGCGTGCCCTCTAGAATGATCTAATATCCAGAGCTTCCTAGGTAGCTACAGTTTCTTTGAGGATTCCATGAGAAACGAAGCTCTCCTCTCTCTGGTTGCTTCCCCTCACACACTGCTGTCATGGGTCACAGACCCTCTGACATGCCTGTGTTTCTGCGTGGCTCTTGACTAGTGTCTTTGTCATCACCCGGAGACTTGGTAGACTGTAGCTTTTTAAGTCCACTATACACCCACTGCTTTAGAAACTGCACAGGGGCAGCAATCTATATCTTGACAAGCAGGGGACTCTGGAAGCCACTGTGCAAGCCTAAGAACCACTATCCCAACCCTTGGGAGGAGACTAGCAGTTAATAGTCTGGGCATCCCCATGATGAAGCTTTCTTTGTCCATAAATAAGTATACTCTCCTCTACTCCCTCCTGCCCTCCTTCCCTTTCTCTCTCCCTCCCTCCTTCTTCACTCCATATGTGTGTATGTATCACACACACACACACACACACACACACACACACACACACACACACCATACACATATACTTATGTGCATCTGGGTATACAAGCAGATGGAGGACAGAGATTGATATTGAATGTCTCCTCAGTAACTTCCTATTACTTTTAGAGACAGAATCTCTCACTGAACCTCAAGTTGGTTGATTAGGCTGTGTGACCTAATCAACCAATCAAGTACCCTCCTCCCTCTGCCCCCTAGATGCTGGGATTACAGGTGCATGCTGCTCTACAGGGCTCTTTAAGGGTTCTAGAGATCTGAACTCAGGTGCTTATGCATACACAGCAAGCAAGCCCTTCATTGACTAAGCCATCTCAGCCTCAGAAATAGTTCTGTATAACCTTATTTACATGCTGATTACCCTATACTACCATGAATAATCTAGCCTGTTTTTTTCCCAGGTTCTCTGGGTTAGGAGAGGTGAAAAGCTGGCTATTTGTTTCTGTTTATTTTTTTTTTAAACAGATGCAAAGGAGAAGAAAGTCCATTTAAAGGGAGGAGGATAAAGCAGAGCAAATTAGAGTGACAAGTACCGTTAGGGAGGGAAAGAGAAGAGAGCATAGGTGAGGGGTAGAATATTCCTGGAGGCGTGAGTAGTGAGAAATGCAGAGAGAAGAGGTGAAAATGAGGAACAAAAGAGAGGGTGAAACTGGCAAGTTCCTGATGCAACTTGGCCGGTTTTTAATACTTTACTGGAAAAAGTTAAACATGTTAGCACCAAAGGCAGATGGAGGGAAAACATACCCAGGGGCAAGAAACAGAGGGCCTGCTAGATGAGAAATTTTGCAAAGCACAATGTATAATCTGTGCTGAAATTAAATACTCTGTGACCCATAATCTAGACAGGACTTCATTTTGCAACCCAGTACTAAATATTAGTCTAAAGTGTCTCCTGACGCCACTCAGCCTTGTACAAGCGTGCCTCGTGCAGTGTTCCTTCTGGTGACTTAAGGCAGTAACCTTACCCATAGGCTCACTGCCCCAGGCCTATGGAATATGCCAACGGAACCAATTACTTATATCACCTCTCTGTGCCACAGCACTATTGCCATTAATTCTCTACCGTTCTGTGTTTCTCACACTCTTTAAGGAGCACCTTCAGGAATTTCTCCAGAACGACCAAAACAAAAACTGTCAATGTAACTTCATCTTCTTAAGATTTGTATTCCCCCTTTCTTCTGTAGAAAGCACATGCACTATAGATCTGTAGTCCAAGTTTGTTCTTTCTTCAATTTTCCTTTTTCTAGTTCTTGAATTTGGCCCTCATGACCTAATTTTTTGTTGCTGTTGTACTTTTCTGTTGTATTCCATGAGTTATAAATGAATGAGAAATGGCAAGCTGGCGGGAGGAAAAGTTTTGAGGTCAGATAACTCTAGGTTCAGTTTTTACCTAAGTTAGCGATGTGAACCTCAGAGTCTTGATCTGAACTAACAGACGAACAACGGAGATATTTCCAGGAGTTGGTGAATAAACACAGTCATAAAGCACTGTGTGTCATAATGCGTTCTTATGGCTGTCACGTTTGCTATATGTTAGCCAGTCCATTAAGGTTAGCTGAATGATCAAAGCCTAAATTAGGGACAGTGTTTTTCATATGATCGCAACATAATTAGACATAAACCCCGAAGATGGGGGGAAAAAGTAAGTTAAGGAAAACAGGACATTCCTATGGAGTGCTAGTGGGATGCATAAGCCACAAGTCTCCTGGAGACAGCTGACCATTGTGTCTAATCAGTCATTAGATCAGCTTGTCAGCAGATCGTGAGTCACTCTACTGCTTTCGTCTTCCCTTTGCCATCTGCGCTGGAGTCTAGTCTGCTCCCATATGAGCCGTTATAGTAGATCCCTATCGGTTCTCCTTCCAGACCTGTACCCAACAATTACTTTATTAGCCATTACTGCTACCACAGCATTTTCTCTATTGTCCTTTCTTTGTTCCCCAAACCATCCTGGGAAGTCCCTATTGTTTTTATACTTCTGTCTGTAGTGAGTGGGTATATAATAAAAGGCTTTTCTCTTGTAGACCCATGTCTATTTCCATCTGTATACATTCTGCAGCTCAGACAGGAAAAGCCTTATGTCCTAGAGCATTCTAGAATGTGCATGGGCTTTGCACTCTGGATCTACTCCTGGGATTAGATATTGACTCCATTTACTGGGCGACTCACCACCCAGAGTTGCTTTGTGCCTCATTTCCTTCAACCAAGGTTTAATATGATTAAAAAAAAAGTGTTCATGCAACCTCTATCATAAAGTTTTGAAGATAAATGAGATGCCGTGGGTGGTGAAATCATCTAATGTCTTATGCATAATAAATCCTACCCACGTCATGC